CCGTCGCCGAATGGCAGAGTCGAGTTGCCATGGGATGTTTGTGGCGCCGAGCACGAGGACGCCGGATGTGTCGTTTCCTACACCGTCCATCTGGACCAGCATTTCGGTTTTTATTCTCCTGCTGGCCTCGCTCTCGCCTTCGCCTCGTGTGCCGCACAGGGCGTCGACCTCGTCAATGAAGATGATTGACGGCTTGTTCTCCCGCGCCATTGTGAAGAGCTGTTTCACGAGCCTACACCGCTAGATCAGCACCCGCCCGCCCGCCCGCCACCCAATGGGTCCCCAAACCGGGGGGGAAACCGACCTTTCACTCTCTCCCATCCACTTGCTGACCAAGTCACTACTCGAGACTGAGAAAAACGTTGAATTCGCCTCCGTCGCCACCGCCTTCGCCAAGTAACTCTTTCCGGTCCCGGGCGGGCCGTACAGCAATATCCCCTTCCACGGCTTTCTCTTACCCGTAAACAGATGCGGGAACTTGATTGGCAGGATGACCGCCTCCTTCAGGGCCTCCTTCGCGCCCTCCAGCCCCGCCACATCCTCCCACCTCACATTCGGCTTCTCCGTCAGGATCGCGCCGGCCAGCGCGCCGCGCAGCTTCTTGCTCTCGGGGTCCATGGTGTCATCGTCCTGGTCACCCTTGCCGCCGTTGTTGCTGGTGCTGCCGTTCGCGCCGACCTTGCTGGGCTTCTTCTTGTTTGCGTTCTCGCTTAGGTGCGTCTTGAGCTTCTCGGCACGCTCCATGTACTCGGCGGCTTTAGCGCGGATCGACTCCTTCATCTTTGGGTTCTTTTCCCACTTGAGGGCCAGCATGAAGCACTCGAGGGCCTGGTAGTACTGCTGGTAGGCCACGTCATAGTTGCCGGCCGTGTCCTCCTCGATGGCCTTTTTGACGATCGCGATAGCTTTCTGCGGGGTGGGGTGGCGCGTTGGTTAGCTCTTGTGTGCGTGGTCAGCTGGGGGCGGGGGAGGGGGGGGGGGGCGGGAGAGGAGAGGGGAGAGAGGGGTGCTTACGCCAACAAAGTCGGTGTTCGACATGATTGCGGGCTGTTTATGTGGATCTGACCAGATCTTGGAGCGACTGTGGTGGTGATGGGGGGGGAGGGGGGGGGAAGAGCTGGAGCTTTATCCGGGGGGGGGGGGGGGGGGCGAGATGCGAAATGCGGGGGTGGGCTGGCCTCGTAGTGCGTGCGGTTGTCTGTCTGGCGAGGAGCTCAGATGTAGACCCTGCTGCTGCCACGTTAGCCCAATCCCATGCTTCAATGCACCGTAATCAGAGTAGTTCAGCCCGGTCAATGAGGGGAGAGGGGGGGAGTGTGTAGCTACTGCAGAGGATGTCTTCTGTGACTGTGTGTGTCTTCTGTGACTGTGTGTGTCTTCTGTGTCTGTGTGTGTCTTCTGTGTGTCTTCTGTGTGTCTTCTGTGTCTGTGTGTCTGTAGCCTCAGTGATGGCGAGTGCAGTTGTATGGAGTATGCAGAGGGCACTCACTGGCTGTGTGTGTAGAAAGCAAGAGCGATGATCAGGGCAACGCAAGCTCTGGACGTGAGTGAGGGCCACGGGCTGGGCTGCTCTACGGGGGCCGTTGTCGCCCTCGTTTATCGTGCGTGGCTTGGCGGCCGTGTTAACCAAACCCAAACCCCACGTTCGTTTCCTGGAGACCCCACTACGAACGACTATCCGCCCACTCGCCCACTCACTCGCTCACTCACGACTCTACCGCCACTCTCACTCAATACCCCACTCCCCCCCCCCCTCCCCGTAATAACCAGCAATGGCGGACCCCCAACAAGCCCTGCAGAAAATGACCGAGGAGTTCACCACCCTCCAGAAAGGCAAGCAAGCTCCAGTCCAGACCTACGAGAAAACCACAACCCCCCCCCCCCCTCCCCCACACAAAAAACCCAGCTACATAGGAGGGGAGCTCATCGGCTGATTTGATTTCTTGGTGGGCGGCGCAGAATTGAGCGCTGTTGTCGACGCCCGGCAGACGCTGGAGAGCCAGCTGCAGGAGAACCAGTCGGTGCAGAAGGTACGGTGCCATGATGATGATGGTGGTGGTGGGTGGTTGCTTGGGGGGGGGGGGGGGATTTCAGAGCTGATGCCGGTGTGGATGTGTGCGGCTAGGAATTCTCGGGCCTGGACGACGACGCAAACATCTTCAAGCTCATTGGGCCCGTGCTCGTGAAGCAGGACAAGTCGGAGGCGATCATGGCGGTGGGCGGGCGGCTGGAGTTTATCGAGGCGGAAATGTGCGCTACCCCCCCCCCCCTCCGTGCTGGTAGCTGGCTGGCTGGCTGGCTGTGGACTGACATGAGTGTTTGGGCACTGGGCAGAACGAGGACCGAGGAGAAGATAAAGAACATCCAGGAGAAGCAGGAGAAGAAGAAGGTCGAGATCATGCAGCTGCAGAACATGGTCGTGCAGCAGCAGCAGCAGCAGCAAGCTCAGGTGGCCGCGTGATAGATAGAACTAGGTTGGGAGGTTTGGCGGGGGGAAGTTTTGTCCGCTTGGATCAATGATATCTTCACTACGCAAAAGTAGATTTTTTTACACCAACCAAATGTAATATTATACAAAAAACAAAAGGAAAAAAATAGGGAAACAGAAAAACAGAAAAGAAAGAGAGAAAAACACTTTTTAGCAACCCCAATCCCGTTCGTCACCCAATCCATTAAAAGTCATTCTACCTACCCACTTGCACCGACCTGCCTACCCACCTACTCCTTATTCCTCCTCCTATGTTTCTTCTCCCTCCTCTCCTCCTTTTCGTCGTGCGTCCTCCTCTTCTTCATTTTGTGCTCCCCGTCGCCGCGAGCAGCCTCTCTCGTGGGCCGCACCTCGAGCGACACGTCTCTCATCTCGACGTTTCCATCGGCCTCCATCTCCCCCTCAAAGCCAATCGGCTTAAACCTCATCTTCAGCCCCTCCGGCTGCTGCTTCACCGGCTTACTCTTGACCATCTCCTCCGTGACCTCCCTCCCCGTCGGCAGCGCCTCCACCATCTGAAAGTTCTTTGAAATCTTCTTCCCCGCTGTTCACCCACACCCACATATTAGCCCCCCCTCTCCCTCCCTCCCTCCCTCCCCCCCTCCCTCTCTCCATCCTTTCCCCCCTCTCCCCATCCCCCACCTCCAGGCACAAAACAAAAAACAAAACTCACCTAATTTATACCCGCCCCTCCCATCGGGCACAAACAGCCCCACCTCTCCGCCCTCCTCTTCGCCCTCCTCCTTCGTCCTCAGGCAGTAGCTCCTCCCCGAGCCCGTCATCAGCACCGGCAGCCCCTCCGCAATGTCTGCCGGGCTGATGCGGTCAACCTTGCTCAGCGGCGCCGCCAACGGCGCCGTAATGAGCCACAGCTCCTTGCCGTTCAGGTTCGCCGCTGAAAACGGGTTCGAGCCACCACCACCACCGCCACCACCACCACCGGGCGGGACGAGCTTGAACTCGGGCGGCGGCGCGTACTTGTAGCTGCCCTTGGGGCGCTTCCTGTAAGGTGTCAGTATGCCTGCTGCGGTGGAAGAGGGTTTTGGGCGGGGGGGGGGGGGGGGTGGTACGCAGAGGAGGCGAGCTCTTCTCCTTCTTCTTCTTCCTCTTCCTCATCTTCGGAGCCAGACTCAGACTCGGACGCAGTCTCGTCGCTGCCAGACTCGGAGTCCCCCTCGGTCTCGGCCGCAGCGGTGGTGGTGGTTGTCGCCGTGCTCCGCTGGGTCTCCTCCTCCTCCTCTTCCTCCTCCTCCTCACTTTCACTCCCACTCACACTCTCAGACTCGCTATCGACCACCCTCTCCTGCGACATGCTGGGCTTCTTTACTTTCGGCGCTGCCTTCCCGGCCGGCTCCCTCTTTATCTTCGCAGCCGCTGGGGTCTTTTTCTTGCTAACCACTGTTTTCGCCATCTCTGGCCAGCTCTTGTGGTCGGATTGGGGGGGGGGGGGGATGGATCGAGCTGGAATTGGGCGGCTGCTGCTGCTCCAGAGGTGTGGTGGTGGGGGGTGGGGGTGGGGGGGGGGGGGGGAATTACAGTGAAAGTACTTCTACTGAAAATGAAAATGTCTGGGGTGTGCATGGGAGGTTGTGGCCGCCAAGAGAAAAATAGCACGGGAGGCGCCGTGGGTGGGGCTAGTACGGATTCGGAGCGGCGAGTGAGAGCGTGTGCAGCAGCAGCAGCAGCAGCAGCGTAGCTTGACGGACTATGTACTACTACTGCCGGAGGTACATTACATACACATGCACCCAACACTACAAGTACATACAATACATGTACTTGTAGGCACGTACCACCTGCTTGTGCTTTGTATATACGCAGAACACCGGGCAGCGATAGTGAGCAGAGACGTGCGAATTAAGCACCTATCATCATCAAGACAACCAAACTCATGGTCTTGACACAGTACAAATAACAGATACATCAGTAGCAAAGCCTAGCGCAAAACAACAACTACATGTACATACCGCCACGCCCCTCTCCTACCGAGTGCTACGCCATGAGGCACCACCCCTCTCAACCTCCACCATCTAAATAAAGCACCCCCTCCAACGCTAACAACCAAAACATCACGAATAACGCCACCAAGCTATTGCCCAACCTCAACGTCCAAAAAAAGAACTGAAAAGGCTTCCCACTCCAATCCAACTGATCACTGCTCTGACTCGGAGTTGAACCGAGGATCTCAGCATTACTAGTGCTGCGCCTTACCAACTTGGCCACCAGAGCGTGCTGTTGCAGTCTCACGATGCAAATAAGAACCGTTAGACAGGTTATTCCGTGTCGTGTTGTCTGGAGCGGCCGGTGAAGCGAAAAAATCTCAAAGTTCACAACTTTTTACACACCAGGCACCTACATTAGAGCACGAGACATCAAAACGAGAACCACCACAAAGCCGAAACCGAGTCTACCCTCTCGACCCAAGTACCCAACCAACCCCCACAATAATATACCACACCGCAAACCCCACTGCGCCCCCGCACGAAGAAACCCACCAACGAGTCAAAAAGACTGGAGACGCGGGGAATCGAACCCCGGACCGCCTCTACCTTAGCTAGTAGACCATCTCACGACAATGAGAGGCTCCAATGCTAAAGAGGCATTATACCACTAAACCACATCCCCATGTGGACTCGTGGATAAGGAAGAAAATTTGTTTCCACCGCTTCTTGGCGGACGGGCTAGTATCGTGAGTCTAGGTTGTTTCGGGAAAGTCCGTTGATTAGGTCAATGATTGGCCGAACCGGAAAAATGTTCCGGACGGAAACGGGGAGCTGGGACTCTGCGGTAGAGAAGGGGTGTGCTTGGAAGTGCCTCCTGTTGTGTTGTAGGGATCGGCGCTGTGGGTGTAGAGTTCTAAGTGTCTGCGTGGGATTGCAGTGTTTAGTTTGTTGAAGCCTGTGTTTCGCACTTTACGCGCCAACCCCGCATTTTATAGCGAGTTCAAGGCGAAGGACATTAATCTACATTCTCCAAAGCCTGTAAGATTTCCGCCTGGATGCTCTCGCAACAAGACTGTTATCTGATACCTGCAGGGCTCGGAGGCCCGGCCCAGCGCTCCGCCAGGGCGAAAACAAAACTGTATGCTGTGGCAGGACAGAGATATCCCTCTTAATTACTAGCATTTACTCATCTCCCTGCTTTTCCATATGCACCATCGCTGCAGTTTGGTGGTGTTGTAGAGAACTTAAATTAGGATCACAGATTATCACTCGAGTGTTGAGACATACACGTTTCCCCACACTTCAAGGCCCGTTTATTGCAAAGTCTCCATCTCCGAGTCAGAGACTACCATCCAGCTTCAGAACCTAATACTGCCCCAAGCAGTGTTGATATCCAGGAGATCTTACCCTCCAGCTGGTTTGGCTGAAACCTGAAGTCTGAAGATGCATGTATCATAGCTAGTCTATTGAGCGCCGCTCGATATTTAAAAAACCCCGGGCACAAAACCAAAGACTACTCGAGTAAGCCAGACCATAGCCCACCTACATGTGGTTCTAGTCACGTCCAAGATCCAATTCCAGTGCTGGCGCCCTCGGCTTGGCACGAACAATCCGATCTACCCTGACCGTTGTGGCAAGATCCGCATCCAGAAGTATGTGCTAAATTAACTCCTGACCTCTCACGCTTCTGGACCAAGTTCTGTTAGGGTTCCTAGGACCGTCCATGATCTGAACGCTTTGAGGTGTGTGAGGTTTCGATCTGCGGGGAGCGAAACCCTCCCCAACCCAGTAAAATTTGGCTCCCTGATCTCTCTTCTCGGAGATTTTACGTACCGCAGTGCTTGTGGTGGGAAAGGCCAGTGCGCTCAAGCTATCTCCAAGTGAAGATTCCTTCAATTTTAGCTACCAATAGCCAGTCATGTCAGCACCTCCCCGCCACCAGAAGGACAGCTCTACATCATCGCCCAATATGTAGCCAAAGGGCCGTAAGTGACCGACGAACTTCTGATGCGAGACCAATAGTCGTATGGCCTGTGACGAGGGCACAGCTAAGTCACAGCGTACGTACAGTATATATAGTAAACACGTACCAGCATCAACCACTGCCAAGGCAAAGCAAAGATCCGGGCAGCTAGCCCGCTATGGATGGTTTTTATATCCAGTCTCTAGCTCTCTACACGTAGCTATGTTGCCCACTACCTAGGTACTCTTGTCATCTACCGAACATCACCATATGGCCACAGAGGGTAAGAACAAAGTTCTGTTACCCAGCCCAAAGTACCAAAATGCCCTGGAAAATGGACCCATCACAACTTCCCGCTCATATACCGCCATCTTTCCCCATCTTCTTTCTTCATCTCCATCTCCCCTCCCCCCATCTTCTCATCCATCTTCTAATTTCCCATCGGGACCTCCGGATCCTGATCAGATATATACAATTCGTCATTGAGATGGAGAAAGTGGTAAGACTAATTATCCCCGCTTGTAAGCTTTCTGGCTGGAATACAATGATCCGCCTGGGGCGGGGGCTTATTCATGAGAGAGTCAGTCCTTTATAACGCCTACTGCTAGTTTACTCTTCATCAACGGTGACTAGCACGACTTAGCTTTCGCCTACCCCAGCCCTGTTTGGAAAACTCGGATGTGTGCACGCAGTTCAATTAATAAGACAGTCAGTCTGCCTAGATGTTCCTATTCCTCGTTATGGGCCTACTGCATCTTTATCGCAGGTTTTTTTGTTTGTTTGTTCAACTCATCTTTATCGCAGAGAGCGCATGGCCGGATTACCAGTGATTGTAAATGATGTCCCTCTGTTGACTGTGGATAGCAAAAGCTTTCGCCACAAGGGATTCGGTATATTGACTTGGACCCTGTAACGCAAATAAATCCAAGGCAGATTGCAAAAACAGCTAGAGGTCAGCCAATATGACAGAGGCATCTAGCTAGACCAGTTATCCTTATGGAAAGCCGGCCCCGCGGCTCACCTTGTTGCCTAAAGTTCTTTAATCGTCGCTATAAAATGAGTTATATTTAAACTCAAAGAATATATACGGATTAATATAGCAGAAGTCAAGGCCGCTTTGTTTTAATCTACGGTTTAAATTTTTGAAAATTCTACCACAGGCCTCATAGTCAAATCTACGCCAATACACTCTATATCGACCTTTCAGAGGTTCTGGATTATAACGGAATACATCAAAAAAATTATATATATATATCCAGTATTTACAGATAGTAGAGCCCAAAAATCTAAGGTTCGGGCCGACTATGCTCATGGGCGATATTAGATCGCATTATCCCAACCCTCTGGTATGGGTCAACTAGATGTCTGCCAATGGAACCGCTAATAAGATAAATTAAAACTTTCAATCATAAACCTCATCTCAATGCTGAAACTATTGAGGCATACTTTAATACTTGGTAATGGTTTATCCAATTCGCAAGCGGTTAAGCAGTCGTTTTTACAGCATCAAAGAATAAACCGATCCCCAAGCTAGTTTCAAGGTCTCATGTTGAACAATGGCTACATGATGGGTCCTAGCCCCACAAAGCGAACAAGCCAATGTAAATATTACGACTCTTAATTACAAACATTCCTTCACTCTGGCGCTTATAGCAGCACCGGGACTTCATCATCTTCTGCTTTGGATTATGATAAGCAGTTACCATGATGACAGGCAACCACACGTGCCAGAAGAGGCCCAGATCTAATAGCCAACTTCTCAGTTATTAGTACACGAGAAATTACCACTAGTCTGGTCGAACGATCAAGTTAACCTATAGTTTACGACAAGAGGGTCTACTTATAAATCAATGTTCAGTCATGCACGGATTCATCTTATCGTACAGAAATTCTTAGTTTTTACTTGATGTGTGGCTCTACTACGAGTGGAAATGCATCAACTAGCACACTTCCCACACAAAACTTTGGGAAGAGATACATTGAAATGTGCTTAGAGGGGTACGACTGTTGGAAATGTGTACTTTTATCCTTTTTACCTCCCTTTTGCTGTGGCATTTCCTGTGTCTTTTCCCATTGTAGACCTCGGGGTCCAATTTGTGTCCATTTACTGTCCATATGCTGTTCATATGCTGTGTTTTTTCCCATGTCCCTTTATTGTCCCTTTATTGTCTCTTTTCGATCCCTTTATCCTCCCTTTTCGATCCCTTTAATATTTTTGAAAAATTATCCCATATATTTCTGTGTTCTAAAACGGTCATCTACATCAATTCAGCTAGTATAGTTGATATAGTCCTATCTAGTATGTCAGCCTAAGGTAAGCGATTCAACCCTTATCTAGGTAATGATGTAGGTAAGCAGGCATATATGTATTTTTCGGGCTTTTTTTGATAAAATTCGGTTGAGGAAATGGGATGTAAAAGCGTGCCATTGCACTTAAAACCATTTTACATCCCTTTTCCTCCGGTGCCCAAGGGCCCATATATTCAATCACTTCCACATATAAAATATTAATTATTTCTACCATACAAAATTTGATGCATTTCCAGATCCCTCTACCAATTCTTTTCACCACAAGATTTTAATTGTTTCCACCACACGACCTAATTATTTCTACCATACAAAGTTTGATGCATTTCCTGATGCATTTCCACTCGTAGTAGAGCATGGGTATGCTATTATAGAGCAAGACTTTTCCTCCGCAAAGTATATACTCCATAAAATTAACCAATAACTTCATTGTTTCTTTAACAAGGGTTCCTGGCAGCTCTGGGTCACCTTTCTCGGGGAAAACAAAATGTTGGATGAATTCAGAACGCTGGATTTAATACTCAAACCCAACATCTCTCTGGTTCGAGAGAATTAATGGGCCACTCTTGTAAGGTTCAGGGAAACGGAACAGTATTACGTTTGCACACTGTTAGGACAGTTTGAATACTTTAAGAACTAGAACTGAAGCCTATTCAGTATTGCATGCACGAATAGACTGGGAATTCATTGCCATAGACTATGGTCTATATGCAATTAATGAATTTAACGAAAAAAGAAAAGAAAAGGACCGGCCGGGGATTCGGGCCTGTAACCGGTTCGAGTGACCCTACGTGATTAACTGTCAAGGGTTACAACAGACTATATGTGCCGAACTGAAAGAGACGCTAAGCTTCTATTGTAATAAAAATAACTCATCCTCGTGCAAAGAAAGTCTTTCTCTTAGGCATTAAAGCGTGATTCACCAACCCCCCCCCCCCCCCCCGAGATAATTGTATTTTTGAGCCTTTCCTTGATCTATCTCTCGAGATTGAATGAATAGAACTTTTTTTTAACTCATTTCGATTTCTGTTTCTTTGAATGCATAGAACTACTGCCACTTTACTTACTACGAGAAAGTGATGCTATGACGTCGATCTACCAGGTTCTTTCTTTTATCATGCACAAATTATGAATTTAAAAAAATAATCATGCACAGATCGACATATTGAAAACTACACACCGCTGACATCTATGGCTCGATTTTCGATAGTGGACGGGTGTGTAAACTTGAGTGGCAATTGATTTTGTAGGAAGAGCTTCAAGTAAAGACCCTAATCTACGCTTTTTCGAGCTAAAGGTCGGTTTCTGCCAACCGAAATTCAAGTTGGCACACCTACCCTCTCTCGAGAATCGCAATATAGACTCACCACCAAGTCTAGGCCGCCTTATAACAAAAGCTAAAGTTATCATTG